CAGGTTTAAAGTAGCTAGGTAGTCCAATTGATGATGTCTGATCTCAACTTTATAATATTTTATTAATAATGAGACTAGTTGATGGCAGGTCATATTTCATTCTTTCAAAGCCTGTGATCACATATCTTGAAGCACTCTGGAGAAAGGTGAGCGTGTTTATTCTTTTTTTTTTTTAATACTACATTTGCTATTCAATATAATGACTAATTAACCAATTTAAATAAATTAAGAAAGTTTACTAAGTTAGTTATTTATAATAATTAAGTATTATCTCTCTTAAAATACTTTTGCTAATCATATGTATTAGCTATAACTATTATTTGATGGAATTTTCAACATGTGCAATTACTACTATCTCCGGTCCTAATTATAAGAACTAGTTAATTAACTTGAGGAGATTAAGATAATAAGTTAAGCTAGTTATTTGCAATAAATGAGTATTGTCTTTTCTAAAATATCCTTGCTAATCAAGTGTATTTGCTAGAACTACCATTATTAGAAGGACAACCTTAAGAAAAAATGCATAAATATGAGAGACAAGTGGATTAGGGTTTTATATTTAGGACCCAGATAAAAGTCAAACAATATCTTATATTAAAGATCAGAGGTAGTATAAGGATTACTTTAAAAAAATACATAAATATGAAAACAAAGTGAATTGGAGTCTTATATCTATGACCAAATTAAAAGTCAAATTAACTCTTATATTAAAGATTAGAAATAGTTTATATGTATATGTAGGTGCAGATGAGCAAATCCATACTTAATATTCTAATTCTAACAACCCAAGGTGGTTATAATAATATAAGGATTCAATCTCTAGCTCTTAACATAAAAACTAGCTAGTTTGAAATTGGATTTAGTTCTAAATATATAAGATTTTAATTTATTTTATCTCTTATATTTATTATTATTTTAAAATTAATTTATAAACTAATGTATAATAGTTAATGTCATACGGGACCTAATTATAAATGAGTAAAACTATGAGGACTTGATTAAAAAAAAAATTACATGAACTAATAATAAACAAGTCAGCCTATAAGGATTTAATAAGAAAATATAAGAATTTGATTAAAAATTATGTAAAATTATAAGAACTTACAGATTAATTTTTCTTTAACTTTATCCTGTGTGAAATTGGGGTCACATGAAGTGAAAAAGGGATGGGTACGAAGGGAATTAAAGGCAAGGAGGTGTCAAAATCTTTGTTATGGAAGATGAAAATGAAGTCACATGGAGAGATCCTTGAGCAAGCGGTGAAGAGTGAAGACACACACAGGGTCATAATCAAGGTGCGTGACTAAGGGTGAAAGGGAAAAAAGAAATAAGCAAAAGGACAATGGAGCTTCTCAAGCTTTCCGACGCATACGCAAAGACTCGTTTCCTCATCCCTCTCGTCACTCTCTTCGTGTTTCCCGTCATTATTACGTCTCCTCTTAAATCACGGACATCCTCTCTCCACCTCCTTTTTCATGCTCGCCAAAATTCCCCCCCCTCCCCTCCCCTCTCTCTTTTTCACCCTTGCTCCCCTCTAAATCAGCTCTAAAGCCTTTGATTCTGTGTCCCTTTTTCCCTTTTTGTTTCATCCAAAATTATTCACCGTGTTCAATTTTTCATATAAGATCTAGTTAATAATTTTGAAGAGAGTAAAAAAATACTCTTCTAGTCCTTAATATAAGACTCATTTAACTAATTTGATTAGATTAAAAAAGTTAGGTAAGTTAGTTAATTATAAGAAAAGTGACACATTTTTCCTAAAACACCATAATCATCTTTCTTAATACCTTCTCTTTCTATTCTACTTGATTATAGTTGAAGGAGTATCCATAGGGGTAATTTAGAGAAAATTGATAAATATGAGAAATAAGTCTTATATTTAGGACCAAAAGTAACTCAAGAATTGGGTTCTATATTAAGGACCGGAGGAGTACTAAGTTACTTTAAAATATTTATATTTATCATTTTTCTCTTGACAAAATTCTCACACTTATAAATTGATGAGTATTTTAAAGAGATCATGTAGCATATGTTATAATCAAATAATTTATTAATTTTTAATCTTTTCAGATTAGTTAACTAGGCCTGATATTAGAAGCTGAAAGTAATACTATTTTGCATTTTGTATTACTAACTTTCTTAATCTCTTCAAATTAGTCAATTAGATATAATATTAAAAGCCGAAAGTAGTACTATTTTGCATTTTGTATTACTCCTTATATTAAGAACAATAAAATTCGAAGTAGAATTGCACATTTATATGGTAAAAATATCTATCTTAAACTTGATTTTACCACTCCAACACTCTGACTTGATAAAGGGCATTTTTGAGAAAGGCTCGTGCATGTTTCACTGCTGTTTGTAAAAAGTATAATATTAATAATAAAGTAACATGAAAAGCTTTTAAAATGAGTTTTATAAAAAGGAAACGAGGGAGTATCTTTCAAAGGGCATTAATTGTCCCAGCACCATTAGTACAATTAATGATATTTCATTGTACTAATTCATGTCCTAAATATAAAATTTACTTCCAAGTGTTATAAATAATAAAAATAAGAAAAAATTGTAAAAAAAGACATTGATGTTGTCAAGGGTTTCTATTTACGTTTTTACAATTTTAAAGTTTTTTTTTTTACAATTTCCCCTAAAAATAACTTGATTTTATTTTTAAGTTCGACAATAATTGTAATATCGTGATTAAAAGCATTGAAGTGAAGTTCACTAGGTATCTTTTATTTTTAAGTTACAATTTTTTAAAATAAAGATATGATAGATATATGAGTACTATAATTTAACACTACTTGATTAATTTTTGTGAAAAAAAATTATAAATATTCATGTTGAAGATTTTACTTGACCAAACAAAATATTGAAGATTTTATTAAAAAAAATAATTCCATTAATATAAGATGGATGGGGATATGGTAGGTAGGCTGATAGAGCCTTTTCAACCTTCTCTTTAGTCTTTTTTTTTTTCAAATCATTTTTCTGGAGTCGAAGAGCAAGACAATATAATCTGGGGGTCCTCAGAGATATGGTTCAGCTGTTCCAGACGTAAGCAGCAGGAATCAATATTCAAGTGAGGAAAAGGACCAGCTAACTCTAATTAATAATCATGAAATGGAATGGAGCCCCATGATTTGCTCCTAATTCACTCCAATACACATTGATTAATAAATCCTAATGTTTTATTTTACTAATTGCTTCTGAAACAAGTAATTTTGGGAACAATCACGTACATATGCCCTCTGAAACGATCACGTGACCACTATATTCCTTAGGCACCTTTTTAATTACAGTCTTAGGCTCTGTTTGGGTGCTCCAAAACCGTGGTTTCAGAAGCACTTTTCCGCAAAACGAGGTAATCTCCTCCACATATTTACTTCGTAATCCGTAAAAGCACTTCTGAAACCATGGTTTGGTTTTTATCCAAACACTCCCTTAAAAAGAATAATTATACTTACAAATCATTCAAAAATTATAATTTGTTCTTAGAACTCTGTGCAATATATGACTCCCCTTCAGTTAGTATATAATTTAAAGTTTCAAATCATTATTATTACTCCTGTGAAAAGAAATAATTATGCATTAATTCTTGCTGATGAATTAACAGTTTTGAACGAGAAAAATTTTCAATGAGAGAGATTATAGTTATCTGCTTGTTTGATTTGACCTTGATCAATATTAATTGATGGGGTTTAATATATGTGTTAGTGTTAGGGGGAAAAATAAACTGATTAACGAATGATACAAGGGAATTAATATTATTATATGACATTTAAATGTTATTATGCATAATTCAACCCCTGTCTGTCTTAATATTTCAAGAGTCACATGCAAGAAAGTGCAGAACATGTGGGTGATCATGTGGAGCATTTGGCTTATCAACATGGTTAGTGCTGAATTATATAATTCATAATTATGAATTATAAATTATAAATTAGCGAGCAGAAAATCTACGTGGCGAATGTAGTGAGGTCGTGGTGCTGGGGATCTGCCTATCAAGGGCAGTGGATTAAGCATGTAAGTAACTTCATGTGCCCCCTCCTCCCTAATTAAATTCTCTCATTTATTTATTTGACTTGGACTCTTTCGTCTCCATTCTAACTTGCATGTGAGCCACCCCACCCTGTCACATTACATCCTAGGTGAACTGAACTCAACACAATCTATTCTTTTGAATCATCCATGTACAGCTTGGAATGTTTGGATTTCCCCCAAGTTTTTTGAAAGCTTGAATTTCATTTTCCTAAAAAATGCAAAACAAAATTGCTTATTGATTATATTGCATAAGGTCATAAGTTTGAATCTTACTGCAAGATTTTATTGGGAGGTAATCTGTAAGTATCACCTTAAGAGCTCTTTGATATTAGAGACATATTTTGGTCCTGGTGAATCTTTTGGATCCAACTTATCTAAACTTTTTTTTTTAGCCAAAAAAATTTTTATTGATTTTTTTGAATTGATATTCTAACCAAGTTTTCAATAAATATTTTAATGACAAATTTTTTAATAAATGTTGTCGGATATCAAATTAACACAATGCGTACACTCTTACCCATTAGTTTAGGTGGAAAAGAAATTTACGTTTCTTTGGGCGTGCATGGCAAAAATTATAAAATGAAACACGCTGCTCATGATATAACTTGCTAAACATTTTTTATTTTATTCTAGTATTTATGTAAGTGAGAATAATTTCCACGAACTTCTTGCCAATTTGTGTGTTTGTTATTACCAACTAGATTCATTTAATTTTTTAAGATCTTACACCATCTAGAGTGGTCCTAACTCATATGTAAAGAATAAAAGAGTTTCTTTTGTTCTTTTTCAATAATTTTAGATTGATATTTATGATTTGTATTTTTGGCATAATTTTACCCAAATCATTTGAAGAAGCATAGTACTGAAATAAATACGAGTAGAAAAAACCAAAAAAGGATAAAAATCATTTGGTTGAAACCTGAGGCTTCGCTGCTTCGGTATTTAACAACTCTCGAAGTCCTATCTTCTCCAAACTTTGCCGCGAAAATCCCTCTCGCCGGAAAAACGGCACCGTCGCAACGTTCTGGCCGTTTCTCTTTGTCAACCACCGCTTATTCTGTGCACGAATGCCGAGTCACTGACTCGCCCAACGGCTACAAATCCACAATGTCATTTCCCTCTAGGCGCCACTCGCTGAGTCCATCTCAACTCGCTTCCTCCAGCCCCGGGTCGACTCACGATCTCAAGCAACGAGTAATCGCCAGCCTCAACAAGCTCTCCGACCGCGACACTCTAGCCGTTGCTGTTGCTGAGCTCGAGTGCATTGCTCGGACTCTGAACCAGGACTCATTCTCTTTATTCCTCAACTGCATTTACAACACCGACTCTTCTTGTAAATCCCCCGTCCGGAAGCAATGCGTTCACCTATTGACGGTTCTCTCCCAGTTCCACGGTGATTCTCTCTCTCCTCACCTCTCTAAGATGATCTCCACCGTCCTAAGGCGCCTCCGCGATCCCGACTCCGTTGTCCGATCAGCCTGCGTCGAAGCCGTCACTTCGATGTCGTCGCGGATCACGAAACCGCCATTCACGGCGGCGTTTTTGAAACCGTTAATGGAGGCTCTGACGCAGGAGCAGGATGTAAACTCGCAGATCGGCGCTGCGCTGTGCCTGGCAGCGGCAATTGAGTCGGCGCCGGAGCTGGATGTGGAGGCGTTGCGAAAGAGCACTTTGCCAAGGTTGGGGAAGCTGGCCAAGAACGAGGTGTGCAAGGCGAAGGCAGCGTTGTTGGTGCTCATAGGGAGTGTTGTGGGCGTCGGTGGCGCGTCGAGTCGGGGTGTGTTGAATTGGTTGGTGCCCTGTCTTGTTGAGTTTCTGAGCAATGAGGATTGGACGGTCAGGAAGGCAGCTGCGGAGGGTTTGGGAAAGGTAGCTTTAGCGGAGAAAGATTTGGCGTCGCAGTATAAAGTGCTGTGCTTGGATTCGTTACAAAATCGCAGGTTTGATAAGGTAATCGATCTTCTTTTTCTCATTAAGGGATACCTTTGAGTACATCATTTCACCAAGAAAAAGACCAACACTTTCAGAGGAAAAAATTCGGGAGGAAAATGTCCTATAAAGAGATGAGTAATTTTTTTTTTTTTATATAGTTCTATTTTTTCGCGATCCCTCTTTGGTTTTGCCCATCTACAGCCGATAAGATCGTGCTTAATGTCGAAATGAGAGTCCTACAATTATGTTGATAAGAGTGATGCTGTTGTAATAGGTCAAGGTAGTTCGGGAGGCTATGAATCGCAGCTTGGAGACGTGGAAGGAGGTAACTGATGCATCGGAGGATGTTTCGCCTCCAGTGAAATCCGCGTGTTCTACAGTTGGTAAGGCTTATTTTAATGTTGTATAAGTTCATAGGCATATTTATTTTTGAGTAATTCACAAGTATTGTTGCTTGAAGATAGGTTAGGCAATAGGACCCTTTTTGCTGATGGGAATACATATGCTACAGATGGCAACTACGAGTTAGAGGATACGTTATCTTATGTTATCTGGATGTCATTGATTCCAACTTCGCATAACGGGGTTTAAAAACTTGAAAGAATTGAGAAATATTGTTACGTACTGATGACGGTTCAGAATCGGAAATTAGTGTCTCTTTTATTTATTTTCTCCTTTCTCTGTATATTTTAACCATAGAAGCTTTGGCTACTTCCAGCAAAGAAATCCAATGTGTTGTTATGTTCGTGGCTTTTCTCGTAGGTCCAGATAATGATAATAATCAGTGTGACACTGCAAGTTCAGCCCATGCTGGCTATAAATCTTCTCTGTCAAAGAAAACAGTCCCAGCAA